TAGACACCAGGTCTTGACTTTGTTTACAAATTGAGCCCAAAGCAAAGAGGTCTGGATGGGATGGAAAGGGCTAGGCTTCCTAAATTCTGGGATACAGCAGGTAAACTTGGGTTCATACACAATTCTTTCTGTGCCCCCCCCCATCAACTGGTGGGGTCTGGGTATGAAGTCCCTGCAGGCTCATCTCTCCTGGCTGATTCTCAAAGAAAAAGGAACAGGGAAAGCTCCAAGGGACTTTGAGCAAATACTGTGAGAGAGACAACTATGAAAGGGTGAACAAGGACTTCCAGGAGGATGGCAGGGGGGATGGAGTGTGTGTGTGCACGCGCGCGCGCTCGCGCTCACACGCTCGCGCTTACACTAGCTCCTGAAAGCCAGAAGAGGACATCAGGTGGCCTGTTCCATCACTTTATACAATCCTCCCTTGAGGCAGACTCCCTCAGTGAACCTGAAGCAGGGTTGGGGTCACTCCAGTGACCCTCCTGTTGTCCACTTCCACAGCCCTGAGGTTAGACATGCATGTACATACCCAGCCTTTTACCTAAGTGTTGGGCAAGCATTCTTACCTACCAAGCCATCTCTCTAGGCCCCAGATAGAATATTCTCACCACTCTCTAGACCCTTCTGGCTCCTCTGCCCGGCTCTCAGCACTGACGTCATGTTCTAGGACCATCCATGCCTGGGAAGAACTGTTGGTGTGACCCTACTCCTCACTGAAGCCTTCCTATCTGTCGACTCTGAGTCTGGGTTTGAGTAGTGAAACAACAATGAGAAACCCTGAGCCTGGATGGTGCCGCACACCTTTAATCGGGAAGCAGAATCGGAATCTTTGTAATTTCATAACCAACCTGGTCTACAGAGTAAATTCCAGGACAGCCAGAGCTGATCTTTTTATTCCCTCAGAAATGGAAGAATTGCCCTGACCATCTTGGTTTCACCTTAAATGTTGTTAAAAAGTTAAAAGACAATATTTCCACCGGTTCTTGTCAGTGGCACTGGGTGTGGAGCCTGGGGTTTTTGCTGTGTTTTGGTTTTCATGTTTGTTTCTGTGGTCATTGAATGAATGACCTTGCGAATGCTAGGTTAGAGCTGGACCACTACCCTGTCCTTCCAGCCTGACAGCAAGGACAGGTACTCACATCAATGGAGGGAAATCTCTTCAATAAAAAGTTTAAAAAAAAAAAAAAAACAGAAAAACGAGGTGTCCAGGGTCCTGTGAGATTGAGGGCTCAGACAGAGTGGGTCCCTTATTTCTTCCTGAGGTGTGTAGCCTCCTGCACCCTGACTGGGGTTGACCTTCCCTGGCAATAGCCTTGTTGAATTTTTCCTCCAGAAAGGGAAATCTGTTGCAGAAGGTTATGGGAAGCCTAGGGTCACCTTGTACAGGCTGAGTCTGGGATCTTCTAATGAGAAGGCCTGGCCCCTGTCAGCCTTTAGCTGCCCAGTGGGCTTGCCTCTTACCCTCTGCACTTCCTTGAACGACCTCAGCACAAGCTATGTTTGAGAAGAGGGAATGGTTTTTCCCAAGCCTTGGGAGCTCTGAGCAGGTGATGGTGGCCGGTAGGAGAGCACAGTGGACAGAGGGATAGGGAAAAGGAGCCCCCTCCACACTAAAAGAGTCCACAGAGGAATGCAAGTGAAGTTGAGACCCGGAGTTAGACATGCTGTGCCCACTGATGTGAAAGTAGCCCTGTGTCCAACATAAGAAGGAACTGACAGCCCTGTGGTGACCAGGTGACCAGATGATACTGTGGACGTGTGTGTTTGGTCTGACTCAGAAAATAACATGGAGTAGGAAATTAACATTTGTGTCTCCTTCCTTGGATTAGTTATGTGTTTCAGTTTGTTTTTCAAGGTGGATGCTTTCTCTGAACAAATAAAGATGATGAATACTGTCTCAGTTTGAAAGCAGGAACCATTTGGGCCCTTTATCTTCCTCCATGACCCACTTGTCCCCAACACTCATGCCTCTGATCTCTTGCCCTGGCTGAGTAGAGGTTCCAGCCCCATCACCCTGTTCTTAGGTGGATGTGGTCTAACATTTTGGGATCAGAGACCTGCCTGGTTAGTGGCAGCTACAGTAAGGACCCTCAGATAACCTGTGTAAAGCACTCATTCCCTTGGCCCAAGCCTCTCATCTGGCAGATAGTTTGCCAAGAGCACCAGAGATCTTCCTTGCATTGCCCGAGACAGGTCAGACGGAGGTGGGTCAGAGAGAGCCTTCCCACCTTCCACACTGGATCATCACCAGACTTCAAGCTGGCTCCCTCTCCACATGCATCAGCATTGCTAGGTCTCAGTCCAGTGACCGTTGGAGGCATAAAGCATCTGGTGGTAGTTGTCCTTATGGGCAGCCCTGAGGCTAAAGAAATGTGCCTGCCCAGTGGCCACAGGATAACAAGGCCCATTTTCCCCCCACATGTGTACTCTCCCCCTGGGGCCCTAGGGTTCCACTCTGGGTTCCCATGGGTTTGCCATTGCCAGCGAAGTCTTTGGCATTAAGAACTCTTCGCTTCAGCATGGAGCAAATCCCTGGGCCTAGCGAGCCTGCTCCCACATATCATGACCCGACCTCTGTGTGTAGAAGGTTCCTCCCCATGCTACTACTGCCCATCTCCATTGTCAAATCTCCAACTTGCACAAGAATTAAAAAGTCCACTCTAGGGCTGTTAATGCCTAGTGTAAATTCCAGAAAAAGACCCCACTACACAGGGTTATATGAGAACAAATGAGTCCTCGGGGACTCTACCACAACCTGGTTATATGATTTGGGTCAAATCACTTGACTTCCAGCCTCTGTATGACATGGGAACTAACATAAGCCTAATAATAATCACAAGTAGAAGCTGCTTCTCCACATGTGCATACCAACCAGCTGTGAGGCGGCCTCCGAGGAAGAGAAGCATTTCTTATAGGCAGAAGCGCATCCCACACGGAATTGACACAGGCCAAATTGACACAAAGATATCCGTTTTCTTTTTGGCACAGGAAGATAGGTGTGGGAGCTCAGGTCTGGGGGAGTTGGCTATGCCGTGCCAGGCAGGTAAGAACTGGTCATCGCCCAGGTGCCCAGGACTTGTGTGGAGGAGGAAGCGGAAAAACAGCTTCTCTTTCCAGCTGTTACCTTCTGGGCCATGCTTCATCAGACCCAGGTTACGGTGCAGGCCAGGGAGCCCCTATGGGTTAACAAGTTCCAGGGGCAACGGGAAATTCAATTTTGTCAAAAGTGTCCATTGAATATAACCCATGAGTCATGCATTTGCTGAAAACTCCAAGGTGCTGCGGTCTGGCAGTCTCTCCGGGAGAGTGGCCCGTTGTGGCCACAGTGGCTCCACTGAGAGGTTGGACACTGCCCAGGTTGCGAAGGCCACATACCTCAGCTGCCCCGCTGCCCCGCTGGCTTGCACACATTTCTTTTAATTATAAAACTTATAAATGGGGCTGGGGAGATGGACGAAGTGCTTGTAGTGCAAGCATGAAACCTTGCCTTCAGATCCCCAGCTGCCGTGGCAGAGGCCGGGTGAGCCTGTAATCTCAGAGCTGGGTAGGCAGAGGCAGAAGAATCCCTGGCGTTTGCTTACTAGCCGGTCTCCTGGAACCAGTGAGCTCTGGGGTCAGCGAGGGACGTCTTCCTCATAGGTCCACTTATACACACGTGGCCACACATATGAAAGCATGCACACTATAATATACACAACTGATACTCCGTGAAAAAGCCCAAAGTAAACAATGTTCCATATCCCTAAAGATACATCTTCACAGCAAGTAATACAAGCCAGGTCAAACACATTAAGCTTTGTGCACACAGTTCCCAAACAAATGAAAATGACCTTAGTCCAGAATCAATTGCCCAAGGCTAGGGTCCTTTCTCTTCCCTGGATATTCCCTTTCTTGACCCTGCCCATGGCTCTTTTCTTTTTAAGATCTGTTCTGTTTCATCTCTGTGAATATGTGTGTGAAGGGTGTGTGTGTTTGGTGGTGGGGACGGGGCAGCAGTGTGTAAATGTGTACCAGCAGATAGCCTCAGAGTCCAGAAGAGGGCATCAGATCCCCTGGAGCTTACAAGCCTTTGCAAGTTGCTCCTGCTCCTGTGGGTGCTGGAAACTAAACTTGGGTCCTCTGCAAGAGCAGGAAGCACTCTTAACCACTGAGCAATCTCTCCCACCCTAATGTCCTGACTCTCAAACACGGTAGAAACTGAATGGAAACCTTGCAATTTCTATCATCCAGTATAATGCTTAAGTTGCTTTAAGTCAGATAGCGTTTGTTAACATTAAATACAATACCATCCCCCCCCCAAAAAAACTATTAAAAATCATCAAAAGAGGACATTGACTGTATTGAATACTTCTTTATTCTAGTTTTTCCTCCCCACTTTTCTCTTGCTTTCCCAAGTTTCCAATGGAGAAAGAAAGGAAAATTTCACCCAGCTCAGAATTCAGCCTTCACTTAGAGTGAGGAGGAATGTGTGCATCTTTTGGAGTGACAGGCCAGTGATTATAAGGAAATTTGGGTTAAAATGGTTGCTTAAGCACCTAGTCATTTAGTCACCAATTCTGTTCTTGTTTTGTTGTGTCAAGGGGTGAAGTGGGACTATGTATGATACATGTACTTGGGCTGTCACCTAGCAACTTAACCTAGCAGATGCTGTTGTTCAGGTAGAGCAGTGGCTCTCAACCTTCCTAATGTTGCTACCCTTCAATTCCTCATGTTGCAGTGACCACAACCATAAAATTATTTTCCTTGTTACTTCATAACCTTAATTTTGCTGTTATGAATCGTACATATCTGACAGTCTTAGGCAAGCCCTGTGACAGGGTCATTCAACCCCTAAAGGGGTCACAACCCATAGGTTGAGGACAGATGAGGTACAGTATCTGGCAGGGAGGGGTACCTTAGAGAGTCTTCTCTACCAAGGTGTTTTCACGAGGCACCAGGGAGTTTGAACCAGAGCATGCTGGTAAGATGAAGCCCGCTCCAACAGTGTCTTCTCTCCCCAGAGTTGTCTCAATAGACAACAGCTCCTAACAACCATCCGTCAGTTGCAGCAGCTGTTGAAGGGCCAGGAGACCCGCTTCGCTGAAGGCATCCGAAACATGAAGAGCCGACTGGCTGTGCTGCAAAACACCGTTAGCAAAGTGGCCCCAGATGCACCTCCAGGTGGGTCCCAAATCATCAGGCCGGACCAAGAACCGTACTCTGGAACCGTCATCCCTGCAGCCCTCTCCATCCAGTTTGTCCCTTGAGTGTGTGTGTGTGTGTGTGTGAGAGAGAGAGAGAGAGAGAGAGAGAGAGAGAGAGAGAGACTGTGTGTCTGTGACTATGTGTGTATGAGAGAGAGACCCTGTGTGTGACTGTGTATGTGTATGTGTGTGTGTGTCTATGACTCTGTGTGTATGAGAGAGAGAGAGAGAGAGAGAGAGACTATGTGTGTGTGACTGCATGTGTGTGTAACTGTGTGTCTGTGACTCTGTGTGTGTGAGAGACTGTGTGTGTGTGACTGCATGTGTGTGTGTGACTGTGACTCTGTGTGTGTGTATTACTATGTCTGTTATCCTGTACATATTAAAGTTACTCCTATCCCCTATATTTGACAGTCACTTATTTCCAGGTTTTTTTTTATGATTTACTTATGTGTGCCTGTGAGTATGCACATGTGCCCAAGGTAGCCAGTCAAGGATATTGGATTCCTCCCTGGTCCTCTGTGAGAGCAGTGAACCCTCTTAACCACTGAACCATCTCTGCAGCCCCCTTGTTTTGTTTTTGTCTTGTGTAGCTCAAGTTAACCTCAAACTTGCTGTGTAAGCCACAATAATCTTGAACTCCTGATTCTTCTGCCTCTGCCTTCCAAGTTCTGGGATTATGACTGTCATCTCCAGGCCTGGTTTTTTTGGTTTTTTGTTTGTTTGTTTGTTTGTTTGTTTTTGTTTTTTGTTTTGTTTTTATTTTTGTTTTTGTTTTAAATAGTCTCAATATATAGTTCAGACTGGCCCAAAACTCAAAATCCTACCTCTGCCTCCCAAGAGCTGATTTGTCACCACACCCAGACCATTTCCTCTTATAAATTTTATTCTATGCTTAATAGCTACATAGGTAGCAACCTATAATCCCACAGATTTGTCAAAAGCATCATTCTGCAAGTATAGGTGCATTTCACCTCCCTGTCCTCCCCAGAGAGCCCAGTCAACTCTGACTTTGCTTTTGTTCCTCTTTTTACTTTCAGTGTAACAGTCTATTGTTACTTCCCACATTTGCCCTCCACACAGGCATACCTTCTACTCTGACCTGCCCAGAATATTCCATTTACAGCACGTGTTATTTTCCATGAATTAGCATGGCTCTGGCTTTTCATGCCTGAAAGTACATTCTGCGGTGACTCCACCCAGTTGGGGTAGGAAGAGGGGCTTCCAGGATAAGTCCCACTTATCTGGGGCACAATGGGACACCCCAATTTCCCTCCACTAATGAGAGAGCTGTAACACGGGGTCATGTTTTCCTGGTGATATCTCTCACACTTTCTAGGCCCCGAGGCGAGTACTGGGCTTCTTCTGGTCTGGGGGCTAAGGGATAGGCGATGGAGCGTGTGGGATACCCAACACCATGGGCCCTGGTGACTTTGTTTCCTTAGGGACTTCTCTGCTGTGTGAAGTAACATTTCCCAGGGAAAGCTTTCACCAGAGGTTCAATAAATCACATTTCTTTCAAGGCTCATTTATAGAACATACTCTGTGTGCCAAGCACTTGGCTGGGGCTGGGACTAACAGAAAAAAAAAAAAAAAAACCACACAGGCCAGATTGCATTGAGGCAGAGAACCTGACAGCAAGCATAAAGACACACTACAGTAGTCACAAATGCTAAGAAGAAGGTAAAGGGGATTGGGACAGAGATGAGTGGTAGCGAGGGATCCCTCTGGGAAGTGGTGACATTTGAATAGAGACCTGAAGGAAGGAAGAGCTGGCCTGGTGGTAGGCTGAGCCTGCTCAGGAGGCCTGGGACATCCATTAGGCTGGAGACAAGAGAAAACAGAGGCAGTATGTGTTGGTCTCATCAATCTGATACTCAGCACTACTCTGTGAGGCTCTGCACACACAACCTTGGGTGCCTCAGCATGTTTCCTCAGCTTTCACTAGGCTAACTGTGTGTTCCCCTCCTCTAAAGAACACTGGGAGGGTTTCGAGAGAGGTGGCCTGTAGAAGGTTCAGCGCCATGCCCAGCAGTCATGAGAGAGAGAGAGAGAGAGAGAGAGGTCTTGTGAGTGACATCCATACCTCCATGGCTGCAGCCCAGGGGAGGGCTCCTAATCCCTTTTCTTTTCCTTACAGTTTCCTGCCCAGCTCTGGACGCCCCTACAGATGGCAGGAAGTTTGGAAGCAAGTACTTAGTGGACCATGAAGTCCATTTTACCTGCAACCCAGGGTTCCAACTGGTTGGTCCCAGCAGTGTGGTGTGTCTTGCGAATGGCACCTGGACTGGAGAAAAGCCCTGCTGCAGAGGTATGGCCATTCTGCCCTGTCCACATCACATCACACGTAGCATGGGTGTGCTGGCCAAAAAGGGTCATCCCAGAGACACATCTGATCCTCTCTCTTGTTTCTCGTGTGTGTGTGTGTGTGTGTGTGTGTGTGTGTGTGAGAGAGAGAGAGAGAGAGAGAGAGAGAGAGAGAGAGAGAGAGAGAGAGAGAGGAGTGTTCAGGTGCATGCATACCATGGGGGTCAAGGATAATCCTAGGTGACAGTCCTCACCCTCGATTTCTCTCGTTTGCCGCTGTGTATACCGAGCTGGCTGGTCAGCAAACTTGCAGGGATTACCCTGTCTTTGCTTCTCATCTTGTGGTAGGTGTGAGCAGTGTGGACAGGGGACTTGTGTGTGTGTGTGTGTGTGTGTGTGTGTGTGTGAGAGAGAGAGAGAGAGAGAGAGAGAGAGTGGACAGGGGGCTTGTGTGTGTGTGAGCAGTGTGGACAGGGGGCTTGTGTGTGTGTGAGCAGTGTGGACAGGGGGCTTGTGTGTGTGTGTGTGTGTGTGTGTGTGTGTGTGTGAGTGTGGACGGGGGACTTGTGTGTGTGTGGGGGGGTGTTCATTTGAGATAGGGTCTCTTTATGTTCTCCAGGCTGGTCTCAAATCCTTGGTGAGTACTAGGAATTTAACTAAGGGCCTCATTCTGCTAGACAAGAGCTCTGCCACTGCTGCAATCGATAGCCCTGAATACTTAAAAATCTTGAAAACAAAGAGATCTCAGAAAACACAGTACCTCCCAGGAGGAGTGGGGACTGACAGGAGGAGCTGAGACACACAGCAGCACCCATTGGTCCAGAATGCCCTTTCCTGCCTCCTGGAAGGCACAGTGGCTCAAGGGTTGATTCGAGGCTCCAGCCCTCAGACCTCCCTGGGAACCATGCCGATGATAAACCATGAGCCATGCAAACATACCTGGAGAAATGCCAAGCCCCATATTCACCCTGACTCTGAAGGAATTCCATCCAATTAAACACCTCATGAATGATAAGAATGTCATCCTAGGTACGAACACAAGGCATTGCTTTTCATTGCTCTGGGCATCTGTAGTTTTAATTTCCAGGCTGAGTTGCAGACCCCTGGTGGGTTCTTTCTATGTCCACTCGGCACCTTAGGTCCCATTCACTTGGCCACCTGTGGCCTGATTTGCCTGTGTTTAGTGTGTCCCCTGCATCTGTCTGTCTCTTGCCCTGTAATGGACATCTGTTTGTAGTCCAACCTGACCACCATGACAGGGCTAACATGATCTTCTTTCTCCCTCTCATCCTGGACTGAGTGAGTGTCTGTGTATCTGTGATGGGAGACAGAATTCTTGACTGGTGACCTGAGTTCAATCCCTGGGACCTACATAGTAGGAGAGAGCCAACTCCTAAAAAAGCTGTCCTCTGACGTCTACAAGCATACTATGGCATTCACACACCCATACACACATACATACACACCCACATAAACATGCACACATACACACCTGCACACACATATACACATACATACATACAATACACACCCACACACATACATACACATATGTACACACATACACACATATGCATACACACATATACATGCACACACACATATACATACACACATCCATATATACACATATACATACACGCATCCATTCACACACATATACATACACACAGATACATACACACACAGATACATACACACAAACATATACACACATACACACACCCCCACAAACATATATATACACACATATACATATACACACACATATACATGCACACACATACATACACACATACACACAGATACATACATACATATGCATGCACACACATATACACATATACATACACACATACACACACACTAAATAAACGCTAACTTTTTCCAGGAGGCTGGAGAGAAAGTGCAGCAGTTAAGAGCTCTTACTGCTCTTGCAGAGAACCTGGATTCGGTTCTCAGAACCCTCTAGCCCCTAAGTTTGGATCCCCAGCACCCACTTAAAAGTTATGTGCAGAACTGTGTGCCAGTAACCCCAGCACTGGGGACAGAAGGGACAGGCGGCTTCCAGAGCGCTGGGCAGCCAGTCTAGTTAAATTAGAGGACTCCAAGTTCTTGAAATAAAGTGGACAGTTCCAGGATTCGACACCCTTTCTGTGGACACTACACACATGTGGTGCATGGGCACATGCTCAGGCACCCACATACATATAATATAAAATGAATATTTCCAAAATTTCCCCCCAATAGTAGGTGATAAAGAAAGACACACAGAATGGAGGCAAAGACACGTGAGCCACAAAGGCACTATGACACTTTCTCTTTCTGGTTTCAGCTCTGTCATAGGTATACACATATACTCATGGTGGAGACGTAAATCCAAATGGTTTTGCTATTGAAGTACCATTAAATAAATAAATAAGCAAAGTAATTGATGCTGAAAGTGTAAACGCCTAAGTGAGGCTTCCTGGCTTCAGAGTGGTCATTCTAACTGTGTACAAGTTCACTGAGATACACAGAGGCAGGACTGGAGCCTTAAACTAGCTGTGTGATGCTTGGCTTGTGAGTTGGTTAAAAGAAAGTGATTATATTTCTTTCTTTCTTTCTTTCTTTTTTTTTTTTTTTCAAAATGGGATCTTGGATACTTTTCATCTCACTAAGTGTAAACTGGGCCTGGACGTTTACCCTGTACTGATGGAACAAAATATTTGTATGTTACAACCAACTGGATCAACAAGCCACTAGGCTCAGCCTCCCCCAAGTTGGCATGCTGTGCTTGCATTTTTCACTCACAGATGCTGTCTTCAGCCAGAACCTCACAGCACTGCCAGAGAGCTGCTATTAAATCTTCTCAGGGAACTGTGACAATCTTGATTATGTGGATGAGACTCAGTGTTGTTAGGGTCAGAGTCTCAGCCCCAGCAGCCTTAACTACACCTCACCCCACCCCCACCTCCCCATCCTCGATAGGCCAATTAAACAGACAAGTGGTAGTGAAAAACAAACAGAAAAAGGCCTGAGCTTAGGCCCCAGCACCCACAGAAAAGCAGTGTGATGGTGAATGCCTGTAACCCCAGCATCAGAGGCAGAGGGACAGTCAGGTCACCAGAGCCTGCTGGCCAGCTAGTCTAGCTGAACTGATGAGCTCTGAGCTCTCAAAAACTAAGATGGAGGGACTGGAAAGATGGTTCACTGGTTAAGAGCATTGCGCCCACGTGGTCACAACTGTCTGTAATTCCCGTTTCAGGGGGTTCAGTGCTCTCTTCTGGCTTCTGTGAGTACAGACATACATGCAGACAAAACACACATTCACATAAAATAAACTAAACATGGACAGCAGGAAAGACACTCAAAGTTGACCCATGGTTCCCATTCTGTCATGCAATACCTGTCCCCCCGCCCCCCATGCACATACATTAACATATACACATGTATAACACCACACACACACACACACACACACACACACACACACACACACACGAACAATAAAGAACTGTATGCAATCTTTTCTTGAGAGACAAGTTCCTCCTCTGGCTGGCACCATGCTTTAGCCTTTTCCTATTCCCAGGACGAAATTCCTAGAAACATTCCAATGCTTGATGTCCTTTGTCTCAGTACTAAAAGAGCCAGTGGGTGGGAGTGGCCATTCCAAGTGTCTTCAGAACACCTCCTCTCCTGCCAATACAGTTCCATTGGGCTGGAGCTCAGCAATCTGGTGAGCAGCAGCTGCTGAGTGTGCCCACTTCAATTTCCACATCTGCAGTGTTGTCATTGTGTGTTGTGACCTCGGGGCACAAAAATCTTAATTACAGCCCTTCACTTCAAGACACAAAATGTCAGTGCCAGTGAAACACTTGGCAGCGCTTTAATAACTGGCCAGTGCCCGCCCTGCAGGAAACTGATTGGGAAGAGGGTGATGAACCCTACTTGGCATAGAAGGAAATTATACAAAATTACATCATTAAAGATGCAGTGGGCAGAGGAGCTCTGGAAGTCCATAGTGGAAAGCAGCCATTTGGCTTCCTGAGTCTTCTCTTTCTCTCTGTGAAGGGCATTTTTGTTGTTGTTGTTGTTGTTGCTCAGTTTGAGACAGAGCCTCAAGTAACCCAGGCTGACCTTGGACTCAGTATATAGCCAAGGATGATCTTGATCTTCTGACCCTCTGGCCTCTACCTCCTGAGTGCTGCTGCAATTACACTGAGTTTTTGTGGTGCCAGAGATTAAATCCAAAGCTTTGTATGTGGTGGCAAGCACTCCATCAGCTGAGTGGCATGTTTTTTAGGGTGTGAGGCTTTCTGAGTTGGGGAGGCCATAGCCATTCATTTTGGAAAAACTTGAGAGAAGTAAACCCCTTTGTTTACTATCACTATGAAGCACTTCCCCATTGGGGTCATCCGATACTTTACTAGGTAGGTGATCTTTCTCCTGTTTTCATAGTCTTAAAAATGCCAATTATTTTAAACATTTTTTTTCTTTCATTAAGAAAAAAAATTCAGCTTGGTGGTGGTGGCACATGCCTTTAGTCCCATCACTTGGGAGACAAAGGCAGGTTGATCTCTGTGAGTTCAAGGCCAGCCTGATCTATGTAGTGAGTTCTAGGACAGTCAGAGCTACATAATGGAGAGATCTTGTCTCAAAAGAAATAGAAAAAGAAAAGAGAAGGGGAGGAGAGGAGAGGAGAGGAGAAATTCAGTGAGGGAGAGATTGCTCAGAGAGCGCCAGCTGCTCCTACAGAGGACCTGGGTTCAGTTCCCAGCACCCACAGCTTTACTCATAACCATCTGTAATTCCAGTTTCAGGGGGCCCGGGCACTGCACACATGTGGTGCCACACATACATGCAGGTAAACCATTCATAGACATATAATAAATAATTATTTATTACAGAAGAAAAACTTTTGTAAAAGTACAGAAGGAAGATCATATAAACCAAAACTCCAGTAATTTTTACAAGATAAACTCCTTAGTGTCATCAATACAATCCTCCCTATTGTTTCCTGTATTTTTAACACTTTTTTTGAATTGGAGCCCAGATCAGCTCCATATTTCTCACCGGTTGCCCTGTCTCTTATATCTTGGGAAGTACCACTTGGGTCCTTCTTCTGAGATTCATTGGTTGATTCTTCAAGAAAAATTCAGGGCCAGGTCTCTGAGCTCACACATTTTGGAGGCAATCTGTTAGTGGTCAGCTTGATTGGATGTAAAACCACCCACACACATCACCTTTAGCTCCCTTGACTCTCTTTGATCCTATGCATCTGATTACAGTTTTATGCTGAAGACCAAGCCCAGATCCTGATGGCAAGCGATCTGCCAACTAGGCTACACCCCCAGCCAGTACACTTCATATAGAAAACCTTAGTTCCAAAGGGGTGTCTGGACAAGAGTCCCCGAAAGTTCTAGCCAAAATGTTGGGGAGAACCCAAGTTGAACACAAAGAAAACAAGAGCAAATAAGATATGGTTGTTCACATAAAAAGCCATCAAGAAAGTTAGAGAGTTGGCTCAGCAGTTAAAAGCACTTACCACTCTTGCAGAGGACCTGAGTCTGATACGCAGCTTACACATGGCCGTTTACAGTCATCTGTATGTCATCCCTGGAATCTTTTGCCCTCTTCTGGCCTCCTTGGGAACTGCATGCAAGGAATGCACATACACACACATATAGGCAAAGTACTGAAACACATAAGATAATAAAATCAGTCTTAAAAAAATTGAACGCCATCAAGACAGAACTGAGGAGGTAGGAGGTTCTGCTTTTGGTCATGATGGAAACATAATAGGAAAGGAAATTTTGAAGGCATGAAGGTGCTAAAGGTACATGGGGAAACTTACTTTATGTAAGTATGGGGGGCCGGGAAGGGCTCCTGTTAAATCTCATGCAAGCTGGTATACAAAAAAATAAAAAGTCAGAAAAAAGAGAACAAAGTTTCCATGGACAACAAAGAGTTGCCAGAAAGATATACCCTTAAAACCAAAGGAAAGCATAAGACAATATTTCAAAACAAGCCAATAGAAGTTAGAAGTTTTTAAACTATAAAGACTGCAAAAACAACATCTATGCTTGAGAGATGGTTCAGTAGGGAAAGGCTCTTGCCTCCAGACCAGATGAACTGAATTCAATCCCCGGAACCCACGAGGTAGACGGAAAGAACAGACTCTAGAAAGTTATTCTCTAACCTCTCCCCTCAAGACATGCATGTGTTCTACCCCTCCAAAGTAAATTAAAATAATGAAATGTAAAAGAAAAAAATTTAAAAATGAGAAAACCTTAGAAATAAAGTCATTGGCATAATGGGAAATTTGAAACAAAATGCAGAACCCAGGAACAAAATAGAATTTTAAAAAAAAAAAGTGGGGGCAGGAGGGGATGAGAATGTAGCTCATGTGGTAGTATACTTGCCTACTGTGCATGAGGCCCTGAGTTCAATGCCCAGCACCATGTAAATTAGGCATGATGGTTTGTGCCTGTAACTCTAGAACTCAAGATGAGGAGGCAGGAAATCAAAGATAATCAAGTTCAAGGCCAGCCTCTGCTAATTGAGACCCTGTCTCACACGCATATGTACATGCAGACATAAATGTTTTTATAAAGAGAGTAAGTTAGAGTATACACATGACAATTCACTTTCATTGAAGAATAAGTATTTATGAAACAGGAGATGGAAATATGATTGTGCCCAGGCCTTGGCTTGCCGGCCTTTCTTACCATCATTGCCATTGCCCTCGTCACTGTTCTAAAGTCATAACTAAATGCCCCAGCCTGGGACACACTTCAATGTGATGACAACTAGCCTTCAATTGGGACATAGCATTTGCCAGTCTGGGCACCAGGCCATTGAATACCTCTGGCTGCTCATCAAGATAAGTAATGCAGAACGTCTGTCTGGAGCCTGTAAAGAAATTAGCATGGTGGGGCACCTGTTCACATCTCTATCGAGCTGATGTCAACCCAGCCCCTCCTGAGGGGTTCAGGGGCAAGTGCATCTCACTGTCTTTCACTGGAGTTTCCCCGAGGATAGATGGTGGCTGTGGCTGTGCTGACACCAAACTGAGGGATATAAGCACTCACACTGTCTGGCTTCCTCCCCATACCTTCAGGGTTTATTGATCTGCCCACTTTAATAGGGGGCCAGTAAGCAAAGATAGGGTTGGACCTTGAGAGACCTTGCAATACTGATGGGGCCGGGGGCATGTTTGTGTGTGTGTTCTCGGACCATCTGAAAGCAGGCTGACCGGGGAAGCATGTCACCAGCCTGACATTACAGGAAAATGGAAATAGTGTCTTCCCTACAGATAAACAGTGTTTGGAAAGCCTGAGTCTTGAGGGAAGCCAAGGTCCCTTCCAACTGACCCGAATGAGGATACAGTTCTCACCAGATGAGCCCCTGCTTCTTCTTCCTGGGAGACACATGCCTTTTTAATTTCTTGGAATTTAGCTCCTGTTTGAAAGATGATCCAGGGATGGAGATAGAATAAGGCTAACATGCATGAGATCCTAGGTTCCATGCTCAGCATGGAATAAAAATGGGCATAGTGCTACACAGCTGTTAATCCTAGCACCCAGGAGGCAAAAGCAGGAAGATCCTAGGTTCAGTTTCATCCTTGGCTACAAAGAGAGGAAATTCAAGGCCTGGGATCTACCTTGGAGCAGAGTTGAAGAGTAGAAGGGAATATCACAAGCAGATGCCAACACCTGGCTACAGCGGTGTACACTACACCCTCAAGCATGAGCTGTGTTCACAGTGTGAGGCAGGTACTGCAGAAACAATGGCCTGCATTTCAGCTCATCAGTTGCCTTGCAGCTCCCACAGGTAGAGAGACTGCAAGGACAACGTGGGAAGGTAGGAAGCTGCGGGGTGGTGGTGGTGTAATGACACATGTCTGCCCCCCAGGAGACTGAGACAGGAGGGTCACAAACAAGGGTGCCAACTTGAGCTTCATAATGAGAACTTATCTCAAAAACAAACAGAACCAAGCCAGACAGGAGGCTGAAGTGGTCCCACAATGGAAGGGGAAGCCATTGTCAGTTTTTTCTTGATGTGGCACTAGAATCCATATAACCATATAACATCCTTTCCTAGACATCAGTGAGTGTTCCAGCCAGCCTTGTCACAATGGGGGAACATGTGTGGAAGGAGTCAACCAGTACAGATGCATCTGTCCTCCAGGAAAAACTGGGAACCGTTGTGAGAATCAGACCCAAACTGGTATGTAGCCAGAGGACTTGCTGGGGATGCTTCCCTGGGGGTTGGCACGGATGCTGGTCACGGTCACCAAAGGCAAATGTGTCAGGAACTCTGAGGTTCCCACCCACTGGCTGATCCTGCTAGTACCCTGCAGTACTCGTTTGGATGGGCTTAGCTGTTTTTTATGACCAGAGTTTTGATCCTTCTGCTGGAGAGTCAGACTCCAACCTAACAGCATGCAGATTAGGGACCCGGGGGCACTTTTGCCTAGTTAGGGTTTCATCCTCTACAGAATCACTTTCCCTTCCAATGCTCCTATCACACCCTGCAAAGTAAGCAGGCCAAGGTAGCTTGAGAAACCAGCACATGGCAAGAAAAACTCCTGATAGGGAATCTGTGAAGGATGGGTGAGGGGCTTCGCACCATTCTGCAACTGAGAGGTGTAACCAAAAGATGTCCTATTCCTTTGCCAGACAGGCCTGGCTGTCTTTAGTTCTCCGTAGACTCCCTGTGGGGAAAGGGCATTTTGGGTGAATAGTGTAAGGTCCAGAAAATAAGAGCTGACAAACTGTTGGTACTGCAGACACAACTTACTTTGTAGGATGCTTGCATCTCAAGCAGAAAGCCATGCATCTGATCACTAGCATAATATAACGCTGGGCATGATGGTGGGCATCTGTAATCCCAGCACCAGTGAGGAAGAAGCAGGAGGACCAGATTTTTAAGGCTATCCTTGGCTTCACAGCAGAGCCCAAGTCCAGCCTGGAATGCAGGAGACCCTGCCTCAAATAAAATAAGACAAAACAACTTCATGCCCTCTGTGGCAGCCAGCTCCAAGTCAGGGTTAAATATGCACTTACAAGCTTACTGCTGACCACCCTGACAAGTCAGTGGAACTGGCCTGCCAGATCCTTTCTCACAGTGAAGCTCTCCCCAGAGTCTTACCCCTAGCCCTGCGTTCTCATGTCTGGAGTCACCTCCTGTCGAAACAGTGGGGAGGCAGGGCTCTCTTGGAAGGTCACTGTCTGTATCTACAAAGAAGAGCAGAAAAAAAGCCTATTGCCTTTCACCCCAGTGAAGCCATACTAGCTACTAAATGCCCTCCTTTAGGGGTATTCTGCTGTGGGACCTTTGGGCCATCAAACCTCAGGCCTAGAGGTTATTTTATGAAGTGTCCCCATGACTGGAGTCTTCTCCAGGAATGGAAAGTAAGAAATGACCCACCAGGCTTACTTGGAACCTGCCTTCTTGGACTATTCCTGTATCCTGTAAGCCTCTCCCTAATATTTCTCTAATTTTTAAATTGTGCCTGCATGTGTATGTGTATATGTGCTTGTATGTGTGTGGATGTGTGTGTGCACTTGAATGCATTATCAGTGGAGAGCGGAAAAGGACTTCTGAGCCCCGGAAGTGGAGTTCCAGGCAGTTGTAAGCACCCCGATGTTGGTGCCGAGAATCAAACTCCAATCTTCTGGAGCCACGTTTTGGTTCTAAACCACTGCGCCATCTCTCTAGTCCCTAATACCATCATTTTGAGACAGGATCTGGCTCTGCTACCCTGGCTGGCCTTGAACTGGGCGAAAACGCAGAGGCTCAGATTTTTAAACTCTAGTGCCCCCTGTATTGTGGGCGTCGTACAAGGCTCTCAAAATGAATCTCGGAGTTCACACTGCAGTATTCCTGGCTGTCCGGCTACTACATTCCGCTCTCTCACTGGTCCTGTCCGGGTCGCAATCTCTCAGTTTAGGTCAATCGCTTGTCATTCCTTCCCTGTTGTAGAGTATGCTCTGAGAGATAGGATCTTTCCGACCTGGGGCTCACTATAGGTGCCGGGGTGAGGGTTAGGGGAAGGCCAGGTGCTGAGCGTGTCATCTTCCCGCAGCGGCCCCCGAGGTCAACGTGGCCGGCGACCCTGCCTTCAGCCGCGCGCCGCGATGCGTGCAGATGGAGCGGGAGCAGCTTTGCAGCTGCGAGGCGGGATTCCACTTGAGCAGCACAGACGGCGGCGGCGACAGCATCTGTCAGGGTAGGTTCGGGCTCCGCAGGGGAGCGGGCACCGCGTGGGAGGAGACGTGAGGATGTGAGCCCGTGAGCCTGGGAAGGAAGGGTCCCATCTGCCGCCCTGGGATGGAGTGCGGGGTGGGGCAAGGATCTGCCTGGGCGTGGTCTCAGAAATGCCTGTGATTTGCCTTTTAGTTAAGGGCTGCTAGGATGAATGAAATAAACCGAGACTTCAGGGGTATTCTGGAAAAGAAGTGGCTGCGCGCCCATCTTGGTTCTCCTCCTAGTGTACCCTTCTTATCTTCCCACCGCTGGGCTCCAGTAGGATGCACCAGGGCCATCTCTGAGACATATAGACAGTATTAGACCGAGTGCAAGGGATTTGCATTCAGTCTCTAGAGTGCTTGTCTAGCAAGCACAAGGCCCTTCTTGCAATCTCATCACCACTTAAATTTAGAGTGGCATGCTTGTAATCTCAACACTTTTATATGGAGGCAGGAGAATGAGAAGTCCAAGGCCATCTTCTGTAATGTGGCAGGTGGGGGAGAAAGAAAGTGGGGTGGGGGTGGGAGTTGATAGGCTAGAACTTCTGTGCCAAAGAAGGTCCTTTTACCTTCACTGTCCACAACCTCTTCCCCACCTCTGGGGGCGTGGCAAGAGAGTTACACGAACCCAGATGCATTCCCTAGTCACCATCTCAATTTAGCTGACTTTAGAGCCCGCTTTTGATAACCACAACTAGACAGCAGTTCCACCGTGAGATCAAAGCCTCAGAAATACTCCCCACCCCCTTCTAAAGAGGAGTCTCAACATACAGCCCAGGCTGGCCTCAAAGGGAGGTCCGTGTTTCAGCCTCCCAAATGCTGAGAGTACAGGCCTGCCCCGCCACACAGGCTGCAGGGCTCTCTTACTCCATGTCTCCTTTGCTGAAGATGGTGAGCTGAGATGGGTTTCTCAGTCTGGTTCTCTTCAAGTGGGGTACCTGACTTGATAGGCTTTGTAAAGTTTCCGAGTTAGACTGAGAAGCTCTGCTAGGGTGGCCCACACCCTTCCACTCCTCCCTTCAGCCCTCTTGGTCCTGGGGCGGGGAGGGGTGAGGGGGGATGAGGGGGTGGGGGAGGGGCATTCCAGATGCTCCTCTGTAGGCATAGCTGTCACTTTACCCAGCTATGTAGTCACAGCTGCCAGAGTCTAGTTGATGGAGGTGGCATAGCCTCCTGGAACGAAGGACACTTTTTGTCCCCAGACGTGAATGAGTGTAAGATCTACGGGCAGGAAGGACGCCCCCGGCTCTGCATGCATGCCTGCGTGAATACCCCTGGCTCCTACCGCTGTACCTGCCCCAGTGGATACCGGATCATGGCTGATGGGAAGAGCTGTGAGGGTGAGTGAGACCGTAGCAGAGCAAGGTGACCCTCTATACCTGGCCACCCGCTGCTACTGTGACCTCTGCTCTCATCCTCTGTCCCCATTCAGGAGCGATTAGGCTAAGAGAACCAAAGATCTGGGCACACATTCAATCTTGGAAGAGACATCAATAAAAAGAATTCCCAAAGATCAGGCTATAGATTCCACACAAACTATCTGTTTAACCACCCAGCCTCTTCTGACCCCATGTGAGTGACATTTCTAGGTAAGGTCACGTCTTCTTATCCAGAACTGTCTTCAGCCAGACCCAAAGGCCCAGATGCCAGCCAGAGTCCACTCTGTTAGAATCTGAAGGGGCCTTGGAGGCATCATGGCTCTGTGTGTCTACAAGAGTCCTCTGACTACAGGTGCTGTACTTCAGCATGGCCAGGCTCCACAGCTCTGGCCTTGTGTGATGGCTAGCTGAGGACAACAGAGAGGCAGAGCCACCAGTGACAGGCAAGAGCAAGGGACAGGGTTCTTAAGAGCCTGATGACAATTATTGCTGGAAGTATGCATCTGTCACCAGAACTGAGCCCAGACCGAAAACAGAGACCGCAGCTGCTCAGGCCTCCATTTGCCAAATTCCATTAACCACTAGAAGGTCTGAAAACAAGAGGGCCTGGGAGCCTAGGTAGGCAGTCCAGGCCAGTCAGGCTCCCTGGATCAGAGATTAGACTGAAGGGTGGGTTGTAAATGCAAAACACCTGGCTCAGGGTCTACCTAAGTGCCGCACATCCATTGTGACCCCTGGACGTCAGGGCCCAGGTTTCTGTTTCCAGGCATGGTGCAAATAAGCACCGTGGTCAGCAAGGAATGTCTGCAGGTAAAGTGGGGATGCAGGTTAGAAAGAAGAGACTGAGAGCTACTCTCACCATCATGGACACCAGATGAATCTAGGGGAGCCTGGGCTCACCAATAGGAGGCCTCCTGTTACCACACCTCCCCTGAAGACATAGATGAATCAGTTCTCCATGCTAGCACAATCAGAATACAGTAGCCCCTCCCTCAACCATGCAACCATGGGCCAATACCCAAAATCAGTTGAATAGTACCAACCCCTACCTGCATGATGTTTCTGCTCTATAGTATGTACCTAACGTGAAGATTAACTTGTAAATTAGGCAGAGAAAATATTAACAACAGCTAACGGCAAGATAAATAACTATAATATACTATAATAACATTTATTGAAGATTAATGAGCTGCTTGTTTCCAGAAATTTTATTTATTATTTTCAAACTACAATTGGCCATGGGTAAGTCAAACCATGAATAAATTAAGACTGCTGTATACACTATGGGCCCAAAGGCAGAGCAGGGTCTCCTCATGCTCAGCATGATCCTAGGCCTTGGGATTTGAGGCTACAGGGGACTTCTGGAGGGAATGCAGCTGCTTCAGGATCACATTGGTAGGATGCCCAGGACTGACTCCTCTGTGGACTAAGGACACTGAAGGGACCCCAGCAGGCTTCAGAAGATGGCTCTGAGCTACTGGAGAAGAAGGCAAAGAGACAGGGCAGGGGGCTAAGTCCCAAGCTGACTTGGAATATGAAGGGAGAAGTGGCTCTCTGGTGACATCTTGTTAGACTCCAGTGTAAGTCTCAGAGGAGTGGGCAGCTGGGGGCTAGAATAGAGGATGTCCAGATAGCCATTTTTACATCCACCCACCTACACTTCCACTCATCAGCCCACCCATTCATCTGCCCACCCATCCGTCCACCCATCCACTCTGTCATCCATCTCACAGAGCTCCAATGAGCCCACATAGGTTTACTTGGGCTTGGGAAGGGACAGCCTCCTGATGGGTGAATTCACTGGCTGTTTGTAAAGGGCACAGACAACCCTTATAAACAATGACCGAGTGGAGATGTCTGCTTTCAGTGTGGGATGTGATTAAGGCATTCCTAAAGGTTTGAGTCTGAGTGTGAGGACAAACATGGGCAATAAGGAGACTCAAAAGCACTTGGGGCAGAGAAGGAGGCAGGTGACTGGTAACACTCATTTGGTGACTTGTCTCACCCCAGGAAAAGAAGACAGCGTCCCAGGGAGGGAGGGTCACCACCACAGTCCTAGAGTATTTCTGAAGGACCTTGATTCCAGATGTTAAAAGAAATCAGAGTACCTGACGAGGTTCTTGCTCTAAGGGGTTGGCTCCCTGGCGCTTACTCACCAGCCAGCCCAGCAGAACCAGTGAGCTCCAGGTTCGGTGAGAGACCCTGTTTCAAAAAACAATGTGGAGAAGTGATTGAGGAAAATACCCAAATTGTCAACCTCTGGTCTCCACACACATGCACACTCACATGCATGTGTACTAACCCCCGACACACACAGAGTATTCGGGTATTTGGTAAATTCACCCCTTGTGGAGTTTCCCATTCCATCGCCTACTGGGGTTCCAAGTGGCTTTATGATATAGGAAAGGCAGGAAGAGTCACAGCCTTCGTTGTGTCTCCTGAAAAACAGATGTGGATGAGTGTGCTGGCCCACAGAACATGTGCCCCCAGGGGACTACATGTATCAACACTGGAGGAGGTTTCCAGTGCGTCAATCCTGAGTGCCCCGAGGGCAGCAGCAATGTCAGCTACGTGAAGACATCTCCCTTGTGAGTAGATCCGGGGCTGCCCACGACTGGGCATGCAGTTCGTGGGAAGGGACGATACTTTCAATGAGCCCAGGAAATGTGAAAGACAGAGAAGCTTCTCTGAGCTTCCATTTCCCCTATAATTACCAGCTCACGGGAAGCACAGACATTTTGTTCTTTCAGAGAGATACTGGAGTCTACAGGAGTGTGTCCTCTTCAGGAGGGTGGATGGGGCAGCCTCCTTTGAGTTCTCCCAAATCTAACTGTCTCCATTTTACCTCTGCTCCAGCCAGTGCGAGCGAAACCCCTGTCCCATGGATAGCAGGCCATGTCGCCACCTGCCCAAGACCATCACCTTCCATTACCTCTCTCTGCCTTCCAACCTGAAGACGCCCATCACGCTCTTCCGCATGGCCACAGCCTCAGTTCCTGGTCACCCTGGGCCCAACAGCCTGCGCTTTGGGATTGTGGGTGGGAACAGCAGTGGCCACTTCGTGATGCAGCGCTCAGACCGCCAGACAGGGGAGCTCATCCTGACACAGACCCTGGAGGGACCCCGGACTCTGGAGGTAGACGTTGACATGTCCGAATACCTGGAACGCTCCTTCCAGGCCAACCACTTGTCCAAGATCACCATCTTTGTGTCTGGCTATGCCTTCTAAGGATGCCATGGCAGTCAGGAGACTGAGGTTTGGAATCTGGACTGATTTCTCCTCCCCAAGGACACAACTGAAGGCAAGAGCTGTGATGGTCATTTTTCCTGTCATGTCCCCACCCACTTTGCCTGTTCACCTAGGCTTCTAGAACAATGTGCTGTGTTCTGTCCCATGGGCTGGCACAGAAGGGAAGCCAGAATACAAATGCTGTACCACCATCACACTTATTTATTTATTTGTTTGTTTGTTTTCTGCTTTAAGCCCCACTGTAGCTATCCTCTTTGGAGACAGCACAGAATCTCAAAATGCTATGTGAATGACCCTGTAAGTTTGGATGAGCTGAGGTTGGGGGAGGAGCTTGTGGTGCATGTCTGACAGTTCTGCATTAAGTTGTCAAGCCTGTTCTGAGTGAGTGTGTTCTAGTTCCATTAATGATCTAATACCCCTGTGAGCCTTTCTACCAGGGGCCTGCAGAGGAGCCTGGCAACCCCAAGTGGATCCTTTTAGGCCAAGGAGTCAACATTAAATTAGGGGTTCTGGCAGAGTTTCTCCACTTGAGAGAAAACATGTCTCCAAAACCTGGTATTAAGGCTGTGGAAATAGAGTCTGCTTCTCCTCTCTGGCCACCTGACCTCTCCCTGAGCTGGAGCGTTCCTTCTTGGAAGGAATAGCTCCCTTTCTGCCCAGGTTGGATATAGAGGAAGAAGGGAGCAAGAGAGGTGATGTTTCAGATTGCTCCGCTAGTGTTAATATGGGCTGGTCACATGTGAGGCTGGTAAGGACAACATCTGGCCATCTGGCCATGGGATGTTTAGGATGCTCAAATTGTCTTTCATTGTATGGCTTTCTTCTTCTTCTTCTTCTTCTTCTTCTTCTTCTTCTTCTTCTTCTTCTTCTTCTTCTTCTTCTTCTGCTGCTGCTGCTGCTGCTGCTGCTGCTGCTGCTGCTGCTGCTGCTGCTGCTGCTGCTGCTGCTGCTGCTGCAAGAATCAAGAGGTGGTGTCTTCCAGATAAATGAAACAGGAAAACTCTCTCTAGCACCAAGAACTGGGTGGGATGAGGGGAAACCACTCCAATTAAAATTCAAAACTAGATGGGTTGAGAGGAATTTCAATGTCCGAATACACATCAATCTACTGGTAATATTGCTTTGTACACATTTTATTTAAAAAATCTTTCTAGGGGGGTAGGAGTGGCAGATCATGAGTTTGAGGGCAGCCTGGGTGACATAGTGAGACTATGTCTCAAAACAAAACAAGAAGAGAGCTAGAGATGTATTGTGTAGCAGGCGTGAAGCCCTAAGTTCATTTCCTGGACTGCACAAAACTGAGTGTGGTTGTACATATCTTGGCTACATAGCCAGTTTGATGCAGGCCTGACTACATAAAATCCAACAAAGAAAAAAAATGCCAGCTCTCCACTTCCCATCTAAATCTTTGCATTTGTCCTGACAGCAGCTAGGAAGCTGAACTAGGCATCCCTCGTTTAGTGATAAGTCTGTTAAGAAGCTCCTAGGAGAGGTTGTCCCTGGCCTCTTTTGTGAGACAAAACAGGACAAAGGCCTGAAGATCTGCTTTTCCTGGTCATAACATGACTCATTTAAAACATCACCCAGAGCCTTGTGTTTCTAGATGGTAATGTGATGAGTTGTGATGGCGACTCTGGTGGTAAGCGGTACTTTTCTCCATTGAGATCTGTCATCATCAAAGCTGCCTCCCACTTACAAAATCACTCTGCTTCAGTCCCTACGGCTCCCAAGTCCGAGTGTCTGACTGCCTCAGACTCCATCGTGTGGCTTATACTTAGGCCCTTCCTCCTCTTCTCTCTGCTGTGTTAGCTTTCTGTCACTGCAGCAATGTGACGAGCCTCTCAGGGAGCAAAGGGTTATTTTGGCTCACAGATACCAGTCTGTGATCCTCTGGCTCTCTCGTTTATGGGCCACAATGAGATGGCATGTAATGACGATAGCAGGAGGCAGAGCAAACCTGTTCACCTCATGGCTGGGAATAAAGACAGCAGAAGACCACGTCTCAGAATCTACTCCAACAACATGCCCTCATGAACCAAAGATCTCCCATTAGGACCTGCCACTCCCCAAGACTTCCAAATATATGGGCTTTCGGGGAGACATTCTGATCCAAACTGCAGCAACACTCTCTCATTACTCTCAGAAATCTGCTTCCAGATCTTCTTAATGCTGCTGTCTACGTTAAGTCAGTGTAACTAGTTGTCAACATGTATTAGTTTACCCATTTTTCTGGGTAATACGGATCCAAGTACTGCAAAATCACCAGCTCTGACCATCAACGCCTGCCAATCACCTCCTCCCCTCCTCTGCATGATGACTTTGAAGGCAGTCCTAGACATGATATCATTCCATCTCTATTCCACCATGTGTTTCTAAAACATTTCCTCAGCATTATTCACATTCAGCATTATCTAGAAATTTAATAGCAGGGCCTGTGGGATGGCTCAGCAGGTAAAGGTGTTAGCTACTGAGACTGAGAGCTTGACTTCAATCCCCAGGACCTCCATGGTAGAAAAAGAAAATCAACTCCCATAAGTTGTCCTCTGACCCTACATTAGGTACACTCACATACACACACACACACACACACACACACACACACACACACACACACACACACACACACAAAGTAAATAATATAATTAAAAAATGGAAATTTAACAATGGTTCCTCAAAACCTCCGGGCATTTAATCATTGTTTACATTTCTCTGAGTGATTTGGGTTGTTTCTTTGTTTGAATTAGGCCCATGTGGTATGATTTATTGATAAGCTTTAATATGTTGCAGGGAACCTCACATTTCAGCATACACCAGATGGCCTGGAGGTTTGTTGGAGGGCACGATACTGAATTGTTTGTTCTTTTTTCTCTTCCTTCCTTTTTTCCTTCCTTCCTTCCTTCTTTCTTTCCTTCCTTCCTTGCTTCCCTCCCTCCCTCCCTCCTTCCTTCCTTCTTTCCCTCCTTCCTTCCTTCCTTTCATTTTGTTTTTTAGGGGGACAGAGTTTCACTGTGTACCTCTGACTGACCTGGATACTCCTGTGGTTCTAGTCAGATGTTCAGTGAGATTTGGATTGCCTTTATTCTGAAGACAACTCTCAAGCAGTAGTGGCTGGTACCTCAAGCAGAAGGCACATAGTATCTGTCTCTTCCTTTTAAGAAACAAATTGTATTTTATTTGCAGCTGGAGAGATGGCTCAGCCATTAGGAACACTTGTTTCTTTTGCAGAGGACCTGGGTTCGGTTCCTAGAACCCATATTGCAATTCCAGACCAGCTAGAGATACGCAGAAAGACTCTAAAAACAAAACAGTAATAATTTTACATCTTGGAAAACATCTCCCAGACAAAAATCAGCAATACTGCTAGTTACCATAATTCTTTCATGGTTTGTTTTTTGTTTGTTTTGCCCTCAAGTTTGTTGTCACCAAACATTAATGTTGTATAGTTGGTTTGCTTTTTCAAATCACTTAAAGTTATTCTTCTGTGGCTCTGGCTCAAACTACCATCAGAACAGACTCATTTCATTTTGCCAAAATTTTAAATTACTTTTCACCTGTTTATTTGCTTGTAAGAGAGGTGGTGCTCATGTCACAGCACACCTGTGGAGGACAACTTTCGAGAGTCAGTTTGATCCTTCTACTATAGCCATTCCAGGGATCAAACTCAAGTCATCAACCTTGACAGCAAGTGCATTTACCCACTGAGCCTCCTTGTTGGCTCTGATGTTTTCAGGAATTGCCTGTGGTTTTGTTTGTTTTTTTAACTTAATTTAACATGTGTGGGTATTATCCATGCATGCATATCTGTGTCCCACCTGCGTGTACCCAGGACCCACCAAAGCTCCATACTTCCTGGGTTAGATTCCCAGCAGCACCCATATGGTGGCTCACAACTGTCTGTAACTGCAGAGCCCTGAGATCCAATAGTCTTTTATCTGGTGTACACACATATAAATAAGTGCAACCTACATACACACAAAAATGAAACAATACTATATTATTAATATCAATAAAATGAAAAGTAAACTAATACAAATTACTGATAGACAGCAGCACAATATTCAATGCCTCCTTTGACCTTTTTATTGTTATTAATAACATTGGCTTTCACTCCTCATAGCCATACCCCATATCAATTCTCTACTTTGAGAATTCACCATGGCAGCTAGACCATTTTCAGTAACATTGAAAGTGTTACATCAGTATGTGTAGCTTTTAATAGTTTTGCCTTCACGTCTTAGATGTCAATACTTTCCCCACAAGACATAGACAACCTCCCACCTGCAAAAAGGCCCTGTTTCTAACAAGTCGGGTCCCAGCAGCAGCGTTCTCATCCCTGCTCACTGAGCAGACCCTGCTTTGGGAGGAAAGGTAGGCCTCAGTACAGGGCTGATCTACAGCCAGCCCAACTGTCTGTCTTGGACCTCTGAGGAGCAGTCAATAGCCACCAGGAAGACAGGAACAGCCAGCCAGGAGATCATGAGCTGTTGAGCAATGGAAAGTGAAGTAGGATTTTGGATACGTTTTTAAAAATCACTTTATTTTTAAATTGTAACATGTCCAACCCTAGCAAACAAAATGGAAAATACGCCAAACCCCAAAATGCCATCCCAGGGTCACAGTCAACCTGACTGGTTTATAGTCTGAGGCCAGACTGGAATGTGTCTCTTTCCATCAGCCACTGTCCCAGCTTTGCCAAGCATTGCAGGCCTAGAAAGATGAACCCTCCTGACTCTGGTCTTGTTCATATGAGTGTTTCTAAGTGTCATCAGTCAGCTAAAATTGCATAGACAGCCTGCATATCCACTAAGGACTGGTCTCTGCTCTGATTACTGAAGGTACAATGGATGATAAGAACACTAGATCCTGAACCACTACAGCTTATATTTAGCAGAGGAAATAACAATGTATGTAGAGACAAGGCAGACAAGCATGCGATCAAAGAGGGAGGGGGGAGGGAGCTGCAACAATAAAAACAAGCCAGGTGTGACTCACACCTTTAATCTCAGCTCCCTGGGAGGCTGAGGCAGGAGAAGTTCAAGGCCAGCCTGGCTTACATAGTGAGTGCTAGGCTAGCCTGGACTACATATGAGGACCTTTTTCAAAAACAACAATAGCCTGGGTGGTGATGGCACACACCTTTAATCCCAGCACTCAGGAGGCAGAGGCAGGTAGACCTCTGTGAGTTCAAAGCCAG